ATCTCCTATACATTGCAATTTTCTCAGCATTCCACTGATTGAATTGTTCTCAAGTTTGAGGATTTTTCACTTTATGAAAAGTTAGACCTAGAAATTTTTTCTCAATGGAAGTATTATCATTCGGTAAACTCAACCAGGTAAGTTGTGCATTTGATGGCTCTTTTTCTCAGAATCGTCTCTAAACACTTTGTATAATCCTTGCCGAACCATTTTTAGTTTTTGCTTTGCTATACTCATTATCTCAGTGATATTGCATCAAATCTACTGGTTCAACTTTTTCAATGTATCTATGGATAGCAGAAGCATATACTTTCTTCAGTTTCATATCATTGACTTGAATCAATTGCCAGCAACCGAAACATATAGCTATATGACTTTTATGAATTCTCGGTCTACAATAATCAGAATTAATGAATTTACCTTGACCAAATGATAAGAATAGAGCATATTGGTGATAAAAGCTAAATTTTCCCTTATTTATTAAATTCTGTAATGGAATCCTTACTCATAATGACTATTGAAATGGTGTCTCACTATGTTTTATAGTAGATAAATTATCGAACAATCTTTCATTATCGAATACTTGGTTAAGTTTATTTCCATAAGATCCAGTATAATTTAAAATATACGATTGCACATATTTCATATCAAAACCTAGACAAATATTAAAGGATTTAGGTAATGCTCTATTTTTCTTATCAAGAATAGTTGCAATATTGAAACCAGACATAGTTAGTAATTATAATAATTTAGCGATTTATAAACCTATTAGATTTGGTTCTTTATTCATTCTTAAATTGCAATTCATTTTTTGTGTATTTAAAATAACTCATATTAAAGGTTCAATAATATATAAAATGGCTGAATTACACAACAAACTATCTTATTATATAGGGTTCTCACCTAATGAAGTATGCCTACCAATAACAGAGGAGGATAGACAGCTTTTTTGAAAATTAATAGCGGAGCAGGAAGAGATAACAGATGTTGTAATGGATGAGTATTGATTTTTACTTTATTATAGACATAACTTTAAGGGTGGTGAGTTAATACATATTTTGTGGATTTTGATGATAACAGAAAAAATGTGCGAAAAGGTTCTGGTAGAAGCGCCTCCAACAAACATATCAAAAAAAATTCTGGCCCATATTGAAAAAAGATTCGAAGGTTTACCACTTGCTTCAGTTGTCATAGTCGAGTAAAAACAAATATAGAAAAAATAGATTATTAGAATGTGCTTTTGTGAACCAAACTATTAAATTCTTTTGTTGTATTTTTGCAGACCGAACAAACTACTCAAGCCAAAGTACTGAGCCACTAGCAATGATGATCATGCCCTTTCGAAAACACAACATACAAAGTCAGAGACCCTATCGTCAAGAGGTGAAAACTTAAACGAAATTTTTCATATAACTATGCATACCCATAAACAAGTAACCTGGGTGGTCATTTTATCAACACAAAAGCGATTCAACATAAATTAACAAATTTGAAATGCAATACATACCCGGTTCAGGTCGAATATAACTTTACTAATCAATAACAGTATAGTAAGGTATTGCAGAGCAATAAGACAAGTCTCTTAAATTTTGTTTATTATTTTTTCTGGTGAATGCATTCAATCACTCTCTGTGGTGTGGTTTAGTTGTTTAGAAAGTCTGTGTCACCTTCCCCTAATACACGCTCCACATCGAGGATGACAATCACGCCCAGGATAAAGGAAAATGTTATATGTTTATCTAAGTTTCGAGGTGGATACATTCAAACTATTTTTTATCTTGTAGTTTAGTGGACTAACCACAGGAAGCTCATTTGGTCTTCCTCTCCTTACAACAAGACAATGATAGTTGACAATCGCGCCCTTAAAAAGTGTTTTATAATATGTATATAAAGAAAAATAAATTTTAGTGAGGTAATAGTCGGATCCTAGGCCTGCTCCAAAAGGCTATAACTACAGCTGAGAAGACTATATTATAAAGGATAAATAGATTGCATATTTTTTGCGGACTGGACCAACCACTCTAACTAACTATTGGGTTATTAAAATAATAACTATGTGTCTATTGAACCACAAATATACTCAGTAGAGGCCCTATCATTTCCATAATAGATCCGAAATTTTTTGCATAACTGAGTATATTCAATAGTAGCTTGGAAAGGTCAACCTATCAACACAAAACAATCTAGTGTGAAGAGTGGAAAATCGATAAAATATAATCTAAATTAGCACTAGCTCCACTATTATTATGCGGTTATATATATCAATATCTAGTTTTGGGCTGTGTATAAATTTGATGTAGAGCATATTATTAATGACAATATGTTTGTTTTCAAGAGGCGGTTTTATCTGATAACAAAAAGCGTTCGATCAACATGCATCATGATTTTTGGGACTGGATTTCAATATATTTGGCACTTCAGCTATTTACAAATTTAAAATAAGCGTATATACTGGGCCGTGATTATTTGAGGGGCAGGTTTGTTTTTAAAAATACTTGTAAAATATATATGTGTGCTTTTTTAATGCAACCACATTCTATCAACTGCTTTTTTCACCCAAATTCGGAACAGAACTTTGTACTGGACCCTTTTATTATAAATTATAGCTTATTTTTATTAGTTCAGTATATACTGTAATAATCCAACATGAAGTAGTATGCAATATAAATGACTCGGCATTGCAATAATTAAACACGAGTCAACTAATATTTTTTATTTGGCATTTTAACATAGCATGATAATTTCTACAGTACAAATAATTAAATTCTTTACTAAATTCGGCACCACATTTATTGGACACGACAAATCTATTAACAATTGCATGTTTTCTATATTTGGAATTAGATATTTGCTTATACGAGGTACAGTAATAATTTTACACACTATATTAGTCAACAAATATGTCCCCTAAATCCTTGTGCAAGTGTATTAATTAAGAGATCGATGATCATTCAACATCTAAAATTTATATTTGTTTGATAAAAAAATCATTTTTAAGGCAACTTTGTCATATTTGAACATCTTTACAACGCAAAGTATGTTATTATATCTTACTAAAATAAATAGTGCTTTACTTACTTTTCTTTTTAGTTATTCTCTTTTAAATATAGTAATGCTTCTAGTTCTTAAAGAATCTTCAACCAAAGTTATACAAACTTATCGATAGTATGTTCGTTTTTAAATTTTTGCTAAATTATTTTTTTTTAATTATTGTATTTTATTATACTTACTTCTATGCTATTTTGTAAAAAATATAAGCATGGATTTAGAAGAAAAAAATGATTCAATGAATAAAACTTTTTTTAATGACTTAATTAGTAACTTTGAATATGTACCAGAGAATGATATTGAAGACATTGAAAGCATGGGATTAGCAAGCGAAAGTCTTATATCAAATAAAATTGAAACAGGAAGTACTACCGATAATATATTAAACTTTGATCTAGAGATTAATAACTTTTGTTTTGACGAAGAAAGTTTTGAAAGAGCACGAATCTTGGCAGAAGCAGAAGAAACTGATAATTTAATTCTTTTAAATAATATGGATAACGATGATATTGATATATATGGCAATGATATATTAACTTTGTCAGCAGTGTCATCAACGTCTGGTTCAAATGAAAATGAATATTTAATTGAAGATCTAACATTAAAAAAAGGTAATAGAATATTAACACCATGCCCAATAATGGATATTAATGATGACCGTATTCAATGTTGCTTAGCTTACTCACCAAAACAAAGACATCTTGCCTAGCTTGTTGGTTCTTGGGAAATTGATGAAATGATTTTTCGCCAGGCACAAAGTGAGGACAAACTTTTAATAATAGGCATTTGCCAATCTCATTTTAATTTTGACCAGAACCAATTACATTGCCCAAATGCTAAACGAAAACGATCATTGAAAAGAGTTGGGTCTTTTGCCAACATTGCTTATTTTGTAACAAATCTAAATATTTTTTTAGTAGAGGTAAGACATGTATACAACATTCAAAACATGTTTTTGGAAAAAACATACAAATACCATGCATTGGGCTTATGGTTTGCTCTGTATTTGGACAAGAAGAAGAATCAAAGATACTTGATGATAATTAACAAGCAGAATATAGGCCTCGGTATGTTTGTTCTGAATGCTATATTACTCATAAAGGGCATTTTTATAAGAGAGTAGGACATGGAACCAAGTCAAGTTTCGAATATATAGATATGCATAAGAATGATACAAGCGAAGCACTTAAAATTTTAGGTCACTGGATTTTACATACGGCAGAAACCACTGATGAAAATAAAAAAATAGTCTTTTAGTAAGTTTGGTTCCTGTTTTAGAGACGTTTATTAATACAAAAACATCCACAAAATCTATAGACCCTCCTAGCCCTTTTTTTGCTAAACTTGCTTTAAGATTAGGGCATGTTAACTTGGTAAAGATCATTGAACCAAAATGTACCATTACTGATAAAACAGCTACAGATTTAGGAAGAGCTCTAGGTGCTACAACATGGAGTGCACGAAGTGATGTACAAAAAAATAAATCAAAACTTGAGAGCCCAGTATCATTAACATAGTATTAAGAAGGATTTCCTCAATTTTTATTAAATTTTTTTAATGGATTTATAGATACGTTGCAAAGAAAAAAACATGCAATAGTGACAAAGAAAAGAAAACAAAGAGAACTTCAATTGAAAGTTTTTAATGCAAGCCGTGTAACTAAGATAGTCATATTTCTTATATCAATGATTTTAAATATAGCATTCCCAGGAACAAATATATGCCTAACACATACTATGAGTTCGCTTTGTAGAAAGCCAAAATTGCTCCACTGTTTATATAATATTTTATGTATAGCGAATGTAATTTCGCATACCCAACAACATGAAAGGCTTTTGGAAAAAGCTCGTTTGCGTGAAACCAAACTAGAAGAAAGATTATTACGTGGCACTAATATATAGAACCTCTTGGTTATAGATAATATAGACTTTTTTGAGCAAACTTTTATGTACAGAAATATCTATGAAACAACTCGTAAAACAGCACATATAACTTTGAGGATGGTATTCCAATTTGTATTACCAGAGCCTATTAAATATTGCAATCCAAATAATGATAGTAACTCTTCTGAAAATAACCAATCTTTATTTGGTACGTCTGATTTTACTAATAATCTTCTTTCTTGATATGAGATAGTCTTTTAGAATTTTCTAAATACAAATAATGATAATTGGAGTGTTGATGACATTTTACAAAAGATTTCACAAGAGATACCAATTGGGTGTAAAGTAAACCCGCCAAACGTTGTAATCCTTAAACCTGGAGATAACCCAAATTGCGATAAGAATGTCCATAAAGCGTGTGATTTGTATTATGATGATGTTGGAATAACAAATTCTGGATGTCTAGATATTGCATGTGATGAGGCGATCTTTCGTCGATTAATTTCATATAAAGAAAAGAACAAAGACAAAACAATAAGACCTCTCTTAGGTCAGTGGCATACTTCTCGTTGTATGTGCAAGACACTTATAAAGACTTTTTTAGGATATGATATAGCTAATATGGCAGCCAAGCTTGGCATTCGCTTCCTTGATAAATTAGAAAAGGTTGTAGATTATTAAGCCACCTGCCGAGTCCTAGAACTAATTTGGGTTGCTGTAGGAATCGCTATTTTTAAATATTTAAATAATACTAATCAAACTATTAATAATATTAAAAGCAGAGAAAATTATGTTTTAAGAACCTGGTACTGCTTTTTTTGTTGGACTGGATATTGGGTTGGGCACAAAATTGGTATTCATTGGGGTAATTATGAAATGCAAATCAAAAATCTTGCAGCATTCTCAACTCTTTTTGCTGTTGCGGGAAATGTCAATTATACTAGATCTGTGACGTACTTTCTGTCTTATATTAATAAAGATCAACATCTTCAAGAATTGCTACATTAGGTGTGTTTCATAAATCTCACACGCCCAGGGCACTTTTTTGCAATTGACGAGGCACTTGAATGGTTTGGAGTTATGTTCGTAAAGCAAAATATGGGTGGAAAAACTATGGACATTGAAGAATTAAAGTTGCAAATAGGCTTAGTGCAAGCTAAAAGAAAAAGGTTAGAACTTTTATTGTCAAGATATTTGGGTGATACAATTATTGCAGCTAATGAGGATCGAATTGTGAAACTACAAAAAGAATTATTGTGGAAGTTGGCAAATGAATTGTTTGATGCTTTTTCCCTGACTGACTCTAAAACACATGAATTATTTATAGGAGCAAAAGAAATGACTAATGTAGGGTTTTATAATATGCTAACCTGTTATGACAAGGGTATAGCTCGGCTTGAGACAATTTTACGTCAAGATGTATACAAAACTGAAGAACAGGATACAAAAGGACGTTGAAAAAAAAATGTAGTAGTACATAAATTAGGTTTACCATCACAAAATAATCAGGTTTAACCATCACAAAATAATCAGGTTCAATCGTCACAAAGTAATCAGGTTCAATCATCACAAAGTAATCAGGTTGAGAACGAGGATGTAAGGCAACAATCTGGTGATAGCAGTCAGCACGTAAAGTGTCAACGTAGACATACCACTAATATTGAAAAAAAGATACTCGAGGATATACTTAATTATGATTCTTTTCCTGAAGACATAGCTATTGAAATCCTAAGAAAGCTTCAAGATTATAGTCAAGATTGAAATATGCAACATATACGAACTTATTGGAAAAATAATCGTAACAATAAACGAAGAAAGACAAATCAATAAACATAATATTATTTCTTTCTTTGCTTTTCAGTATTGGATAAATTATATTTCTTATCACTTACTCTTTATAGGTCTACTGGATAAGAAACAAGCAATAAAAAGGTAATCTCTGCCAGTAGTATTTTATTTGAAAAAGAGCAATAATTAAAATAATATTTTGCTGACAGTACAATGATGGCACTATCGATTATTTTATTAATTATTTTTTTTTTCCGGTATTAAGGTGATCTCTTTGGCCAGGGAACGTTTTATTAGGTAGTTATGTTTTTCAATTACAGTAAGGGTATATATAGCCACACGTGCACCTTTTGAGTGCCTAATTTAAGTAGTCCG